GGGGCTGCTTCTCGGTCAAAAGCATGAAAGCATAAACAGCACTGAACTCACGATGGGCGTCGCAGGCTATGGACTGATTTGGATAATCTTCTTGCGACTTTGACTCGCGTTGTTGAATGTAAACATGTGTTGAAATTTGCAGCAACTAAACTCTTAATTTGACTGAGATCTTCATAGATATGGTGTTTATGTTGAAAATACATGTAGATATAGTTTAGCATTTGTGTTTTCTGGATTGCGATTTCATTAGGTGGTTATGTGCCAATCTGTCCAACAAGTATTGAAACATTACATGATGGTATGGGGCCGTATCTGCCCTAAATAATTTAGCATATTTATTCCTCGTTTATGCAATCCAATGGCCTTTGTGAAGGAGATTGATCTTCTATCAAGTTGTGCTTTGAGCTGTAGCTGTTGTGAAGATTTTACAAACAAAATACAGTAATAATGACAAAATAGCACATATATCGTCTTGCAATTATATTGTGGGTAGGTGAGGTGTTCTACATCAGAAAATTAATATAAAAGAGAAAAAAAAAAGAGAGAGCTTGTATATTGTGGCAATATATGCATTCCAGGTATTCGTATCGTGTAACTATAAGCAATTATATGTTTTTAAAGTGTTTTATTTTTATTTTTTGGCCGGGGTGCAGTCCATGTCTGATGTTTGCTGTTTGGTTATCAATCGCAGCATTAATCGTCCAGCTGCTGTTCTTTGCAGGTGAGGACCTGGTAAAAAGTTGAGTGAAACTATGGTTGCAAAGGATTACAATAAAACCAAAGGGTCGGGAAAAGCTGAAGTGGGGGAGATCGACACCAGTGCACCATTTCAATCTGTCAAAGATGCTGTTAGCTTATTTGGTGAAGGTGCCTTTTCCGGCGAAAAGCCTTCCATCAAGAAGCCAAAACCGTATTCTGCTGAAGTATGTTCTGTATTGCTTCTCATACTATTTTATTTGGCAAGTAATGATCGTTCGGCTGGCGTGCAAAAAGTTTTGAATTTGTGAATTGTGAATGTGTACTATAACCTCAGTGGCCCCGAATAGAAGTTTGTGTTTCGTATGATCATATTCTATGCATACCTGTGAATTTTTATTCGTTGAAGGTTCCTCTGAGATCTATGCTTCTGCAAAGTAATGAAGATAATTCTACAATTCTAATAGCTCGTAGTTTTAAACTGCTTACTGGGGAGTAGTTTCGTATTAATGTTGCCTATAAAATGTTTTTTTTTTTGGTAACAGCAGTAATATATTTTTATCTATTTATTTTCTCGTTTTTAGAGGGTGCTGGCAAAAGAGACTCAACTTCATTTGGCCCAGAAAGAACTGAATAAGCTTAAGGAACAGCTGAAAAATGCCGAGACCACTAAAACCCAGGCACTCCTTGAGCTCGATCGTTCCAAATGGGCGGTTGAGGACCTAACTCAGAAGCTAAAATCCATAAACAAGTCAAAAGATTTGGCAATTGCAGCAACCGAAGCTACCAACCACAAGGCAAAGCAATTTTCCGAATCCGAAATCTCAAGTATCAGAGAGGCTTATAAATCCCCGAATACAGATCTGAAGAATGCACGGGCCGAGTACATGGCTGCAGTCTCTGAACTCAACTCAGCCAAACAGGACCTAAGAAAAATCTGCCAGGAGTACGAAGCCTCCTCTGAAATGAAAAGCAAGGCAATCAAACAAGCTGAAGAAGCCGAGGATTCAGCTAAAGCGAACACAGAGCGAGTTAGTGAGCTATCAAGGGAAATAGCTAGCGTGCACGCCTCTATTCAGCAAGCAAATTTCGAATGTGCACTGGCCAAGGAAGACGAAAAATTAACTTGCGCTGAGAAGGATAAACAGAAACAGTCGTACAAAACCAAACTCGAAGACTTAGAGAAAAAGTTGGTTTCTTTGAAGAAAGAACTCGATCCCAAGCTCGCTGCAAATATGGAGGCCCATCTGGCCGAAACGCTGTCTGAAATTGAAGTTTTACGAAATGACATGGACAAGGAAAAGGGTAAAGATAGTGATGCCTTGAAAACCATCACTCTTGAGCTGGATGGTGCTAAAGAGTCGTTAAATAAAGTGGCTGAGGAGGAACATTCACTTAGGCGATTGGTCGAGACCGTAAAGGCCGAACTGGATGAGATAAAAAAGGAGCACGTGGGATTGAAGGAGAAAGAAGTAGAAACCGAATCGCTCGCAGGTAATCTCCACGTGAAGCTGAGAAAAGCCAAATCTGAGCTAGAGGAAGCAATTGCCGAGGAGGCTCGGGCCCGAGGCGCATCGGACGAGATGGTCACCACCATCCGCCAGCTGGCGTCCGAGAGCCGGGATTCAAGGCTGGAGGCTGAGGAGATGAGGAAGCGGGCTCACGGGCTCAAGGCAGAAGCTGAGGCCACAAGGGCTGAGCTGGAAGAAGCCGAGAGGAAGCTCCGGGCCGCCGAGGCTGAAGCCGAGGAAGCCAAAGCGGCCGAGGCCCGGGCTCTCGACCTGATCAGGGAGCTGTCTGAGAAAGCCGATTTGAGGCGGGCTTCGACCTCTTCGGAGGGTGGGGGCCGGATCACGATATCGAGAGAGGAGTTCGAGTCCCTGAGCCGGAAGGCCGAGGAATCGGGAAAGTTGGCGGACATCAAAGTGGAAGCCGCTATGGCTCAGGTGGAAGCTGTGAAGGCCAGCGAAAATGAAGCCCTCAAGAAACTAGAGTCTTCTCTTAAAGAAATAGAGGACATGAAAAGTGCAGCTCAGGAGGCCCTGAAGAAAGCCGAGATGGCCGATGCGGCTAGAAAGGCGGTCGAGGGCGAACTCAGGAGATGGCGCGAACGAGAGCAGAAGAAGGCAGTTGAGACTGCTTCAAGGATTCTCGAGGAGAAGGAGAAGGAGAAGCTGGTTGAGATGTCCCCTCGCGATTACCGTCCAATTCAAGAAAAGCCAAGAGCTGTGGAGGCACCACAGGTGCACCGTAAGCTGGAGAAGTCGAAAACATCGGTGACCAAGAAAGTATTGATGCCTAGCCTGAGCAGCGTGTTTCACAGGAAGAAGAATAAAGTGGAGGGGGGGTCTCCTTCTTACTTACCAGGCGAGAAGCGTGTATGGTGAGCGTCGTGATAATGGTAATAATAAAAAGTTGTGCAGCGTGTTACTCGTCTGAGAGAGAATTGTTTCTTTATGTGGGGGGTTGTGTGTATATTTGTGACCGGGTTTATGAAGTTGGGTGGTTTGTTGTGGGAATTTTTTATTAGTGATGTTTTCTTTTGTTGGATTGGTTTTGTAAATTCAGTTTATTATAATGGCTGATTCTGTTGTTGTGCTACTTAATTTTTTTTGTCTGAATGTTATATTTTTTTTTTT